ACAAAATATTATGTTGAAAAATTAATATGTGATGATAATTATAAATTTATAAATTCAAATATTGAAGCACCAATTAACAATATAAGATTATTAAGATTAAGCAGCAACTTCTACAAATGGGTGTTAAAAAATTTCAATCTAGATTCATTAATAACAAGATTGTGTTTTAATGATATAATTATATCCAAAGTTTGGATTGATAGAGAAATGCAACTTCACCCAGAAAGAAGAATACCAGAAAGAATAACTCATGCATTTGAATTGATCATATTTATTTACAATGAATTTTGTCAAAATAATATTCCATTTGAATTGATACATTTAAATTTATTAAAAAAGTCAAATAATATTACAACTTTGAGGCCATTTTTTGAAGGTTTTTTGCCTCAAATTTTTAATCTTGAACCAAGTTTTACATATAACAACAACATCAATACTCAAGAACATATATTGGAAAATCAACTATATTTGCAAAACCAACCCCTTCTTCAACTACTTGATAATGAAAAGAATGAAAAAAAAATTGAAATTGAAGAAAGAATCAGATCATGGTTTGAAGAATTGGAAAAAGTTTATCAATTAGCCACAATCACACATGATGATGACCAGTTCACTTTGAGTTTTATATCTTGCATGAAGAATTTTTGGAAAAGAATTGTGGAAGAAACTGATTTCATCAACGAATTTAAATTTAAAAAAGGAGAATGCGAGGAAAACATTTAAAACAAATTATATCATTTATCTTGCTTATCTTATATTTTAAAAAAATTGTATTTTATCAAATGTCATTTTATTAAAATAATATATATTCATATGTAAAACTTTTTTTTTTAAATAAATTAACACAGATAAAAAAAAGAAGAGTTCTTTGCAATTGCAATTGCAATCGCAATCGTCTTGCCTGTTATTTGCAATGATATTGCAATGAACTTCCGCTTTCCCAAATTTTTTTTATTCAAAAAAAGGTTCGATTATTTTTTGCGTAACCAAAATTATTACTTTTTATTATTATTATTATTATTATTATTGGGTAAAAATAAAAAAATACGTCAAAAGTTATTTGAATATTATTATTATTATATTTACAATTATCAAACAGAATCTATTTTTTTAAACAATAAACAATATCTTTTAAATTATGGCTAAAATTTACAATTGATTATTTTTTTTTGGTACAGATAACGTTATACGATAACGAGAAATTACTATTAAAGTATTATGGATACTCGTAAATTCATTAACAATTATAATTGATAAAATGTTTATTATTGTTATTAGTAATAATTATTAGTAATAATAAAAAAAGTTTTCAATAAAATAACTGACAATTCAACAACTTTTTTTTTTTTTAATAAATTTTGATATTTATTTTTAAACACCTTTTTAACACTACAACAATAAATCAATTTTTAAACGATGGCATCTATTTTAACATCTATTGTATGTATAAAGTCTGTGAGCAGTGCAAACCTTCAAAAATCACTATATATAAATTTTGAAATAAACGGTACACATGCCTCGAGGTGCCAATTCCCATTGCAGAACGTATTTGCCTTGACAACTCACAAGACCCAAGGCGTGACATTGCTCTAACAATTGATGAAAATATGTTTGCCTCAGATCGGATCTGTGTAATGATGAGCAGGGGACCAATTGAATATCCTTCATTTGGTTTGATTGCCCGAAGGTGGATAAAGATGTTGTGACTGTATACAAAAGATTAAATCTTTTACACCAAAACGGTCTAAAAAATATTATTATTATTAACGAATGAATTAATTGATTAAAAAAAATTTGATGTAACAATTAAGGACAAGATCTATGAACAAAACATACAAACGTTTTATCAATTATTCAATAGTTTGTATAGGAGTGATCGAAATAAGCATTAAGGACAAGATTTATGAACAAAATATACTAACAAACGTTTTGTCAATTATTCAATAGTTTATATAGGAGTGATCGAAGTAAGCATTAAGGACAAGATCTATGAAGCTTGCAAAGCAAGTTTCCCCTATAAAAATAACATACGGTAAAACAGTACATGAACCGTACCAAATTTTTTATAAGGTTCACGTTTTATCAATCATTCAATAGTTATGTTTATTATTTATATAAATTTCTCTTTTATTTTAACTTATATTTAATAACATCACTATGATAAATAATTAAATGAATAAAGTCACCTTTAATTTAATCATCATTGTTGTTTGTTTATTATTCTAATCATTATTTATGTATATAGGTAAAGAAAAATTTTAAATTCTATTTATTATAGTAAAAACATTTATTTTATAATAAATGATCAAAAATCTGTAAATATTCATAATAATGTAATATTTGGACATTTATTTCTGCTTATACTTGCAATTGGACGCGTCAAACAAAATTTTACACAGATGAATATAAAGGCAAAATTTGACTTTGAGGGTCAGATTATTTTCGGTTTATTAACAACCTGCCTTAAAAATTTTCTTAAAGCAAATACATATGATATCTCAAATTTGGTACACAGCAAGGGTATCAAACGAAGGTGTGAAGACATTCAATTATAAAATTTTACTATATATGAACTCACAATCTTCAATAAAAGAATTAAAAGAATGAAAAACTGAGTGGTGTAGAAAAAACTTGTTTAAAACAATGGAAAATAATAATGATAATAAATATATTGCTGAAATTATATCGAAAATATGGCCTGCTGGTATTCCATCTCAGAGCTCATCCTATTTTGCAATGACAGTTGTAACTTTACTTCTAGATCCTAAATATGGAACAGATATGAAAGACAAGCATGTTGTTATGAAGATGCAAAAGTTCAAAATATGCTTATTATTTTTTATATAAATTTGTATCTTATAAATTAATTAAAAATGGTATATTTATTTTATTTTATAAAGGGAGTAGATAATAGCGATGGATGATATTATTATTGACTATGACAAATATGAGAGATTAGACATCAGCAAATCAAGTGGATCAAGTGATTCCAATGATGCCAGTGATTCTGAGAAATATAGCAATCAAAGTGAAAATGAAATAATTATTCTTCACACGCATATTAAATGTATTATTAGTGTAAAAAATGTTAAATATTGCTAAATTTCCAAATTAGCTAAATAAAAAATTAGAATATCACAATGTTTAAGAATAAAAATTTTATGAATTTGTTAAATAAGTATTAGATAATCATAACATAAATTCTGTATAGGGTCTATTGAATAACACTATTTTCATTATGTGCTATATAATGCTATGAATTATGCATTTTTAATTTCAAGGTAGCCTGAAAATTATTTATTAATACTGTATTCTCTAGAATATAAGCACCAGTATGAATTTGCAATGAAAAAACAAAAAAATAGAAAAATAAATATAAGCACCACAATTATTTTTTATTTGATTTTATTTGTATATATATATAATAAATAAAAAATAAGAAATTTTTTTATTTTGACTATTCTTTTCCAGAATCACCAGACTCCTCTTCTAATTCATCTAATTCATCAGCTGAATCATTAATATTTCATGTTCATCTTCCTCATTTTTATCCCCATATAAATGTAACACAAATTATCTGAAATAAAATGTCTTGAATATAAGCACCATCCACAGTTTTGTTGACCAAAACGTGTCAAAATGGTGGTGCTTATATTCCAGAGAATACAGTAATAATAATATTAATAACAATTACACAAAGCAAAATACCAATCATTCATTTGTTGTCATTGTGATAAGGATCTTATTATAATTACCCAGCAAAATCTGTTTCACATTTTGATCCAATTATAATATTTGTATCTTATTGGTATGCCAATACCTTAATTATTTTTTAAAAAATATTGGTCAGATATCAGATTCTGATATTTACTGATACCTCATTACTCAAATTTGGCATCATTCAACCAGTAAAAAGAGAACCAATAGGTTATATATAAGCAAAGAAAGATGGGACCCTAAATTAGCACAAATGAATTTTAAATCATGCACAAACATAACAGCTTGATAGCTTGATTGACATAGTGGTGCAGTCTTGCTATTTTTTCGTTGTATAATTAATTGTATATCTTTAATAAAACAAACATGACTTAACCATTTAATCATTTCCTTGTATGTGAATGCTTCCATCCATCAGATATTCATATATTGATGTTATAATTGACATAACAAACAATTGCATCACCCAAGTAGTGACAATACCAAAGCCATGCAGAAATGAAACTCTTAACAATGAGTGTCTACCCAGATCTTTGGAATTCAAAAGAATAAATAAATAGGGAGGATCAAAAAAATATTATAGTTCCCATTGTGTAGTTCCTTATGAATAATAAATCTGATATTAACCACAGGTGTCAGATTTAATTAAAATTTCCTCTCACAAACATGCAGGACACTCTACCAGCACTATGGAATTTTTTCCCCACAGGTGAAGTTGACCTTGAACACCTTGGAAGGCTTTGGACAAAACTTCCCTTATCCTCCTCTCAGACCAGGCTTGGCTGTTGCCATATGAGCATTGATTGCTGATGAGAGTTTGCATTTGTGTGATGCTTTCTTTGTGTTATCCAATCTATAGAACAAAGTTGGTGTCTGCTACTGATTCAAAATTTTCCAATTCGGGGGGTTGCAACCTGGGAAGTTCTGTTTTGGATTTTTCCTGAATTCAGAGTTTTGAGTCCTGGGTTGCTGTCTTATTGAAAGCATGCCTACTCACCAACAACCCTGCCCCATTTAAATAACAACAGAGAATTTGGAAAAATGATCAATTTATAACATACCAAACAAAATCTGAACCATGTATTTTACAGCTTTCTCCTTGATCATGGTGACTATTTTATTGACCTAGGGTGAGTTATATGGGCAAAAGCCCCCATTTAAAAAATAACAAGTTCAGTTGGTCAAATAAAAATTAAAAAAAAAAGAAAATTTGGGAATGATTAATTTATTACAAAACATACCAAACAAAATCCAAACCATTTTATGACTTTTCCTTGTCGGCCACATCACTGACAAGGATGTATATAATCATGTGACAATTTTAACCTACAGGACAGGGAACTGATTGGGCAAAAACCCATTTCAATCCCCTACCCAAAATCATAAATTGGTTAGCATCAGAGAAACAGAGCATTTATGAAAGTGATTATACAAAACAAACACTATTTTACAACTTCCCTCTTAACATCAGTGTCCAAATGCAATTTCAGGACCACAAACCCTGCTCTGAATTGCATACTGTGGTTGAAACGAGCTGCAGGTTCTCTTAATATTCCTCCAGAGTTGCGATAGCTTGGTCACAGTGCCATCCTTACCCTGGAGGTGGGATCATTGCAGGTAACTTTTTGGCTAGCATGTCAGCGGCCATCTCTGGTCTGGGGAGATTAGTGAAAAGCATCATTGACAATTGGTGCAGTCTTGGTAAACTCCAGGACATGTCCACACCCCCCTGGAGTTCTGTTGCATCATTGTATCATCGGGTGACACTAGTCAGATTAGCCTTATGTACACAAGGAACAGGTGAATGACTGTAATGTGTTCAAGGCAGCATGCATGCATGCTTCAACGCCTGTAAATTTCCTGTAATCAAACATTGTATATTCAAAATGTCTCTTTTTCAATGGTGTGCTGCCTTGATTTCTTGTATAGTAATATATATAATATTTATGATAATATTATTAATGGTCACAAAAAGCAAAAAATTATCAATGAAAATCTTGTAATTACCCAGCAAGATCTGCTCTGCATTTTGATTTCCAATTAAAATATTTATTATAACCAAAAATATCAATACAAATAAAAAAAAGTAGTACCTCTGGTTAGTTATTAACATGTATTCTTTAGGAGACCCAACCCAAACCAAACAACATCACTCACATTTTGTCACCTTGGACACCGTCAAAAAATAAATTGTTTTTCCAAGAAAGAAAAGAAAAAAAATCATTCATGTCTGTCCTACCAGAAAAAAAAACCAATAGGATAAATAATTAATGTGTACACGTCGATCAAATAAATAATTCTTTTAAAAATTTAAAATGCCAAAAGAAAACAACAAAAGAAGAAAAAACCAAGAAGAAAAAGATATCGCTGGGTAAGTGTTTTAAGGATGGTGGTGGTTATCGCCTGCCACCTGTCATTACTCTAGTTCTAGTTTTAATGATAATTCTAGCCTTCATAATAATAAATTAAAACTTTGTATTTGTGTTAGATTATCATCAGCTTCCTCACAACAGGTAAACATAGAATGCACACATTATGCAAAAGACTTACAAACATACTGGCAGGGAGTGACCCAAGAACATGAAAAGGAAAATTTGATTCCTGCTGTTGCTACCATTTCACCATTATCAACTATAGACTTGAATATTGGTGGGTCTCACCCAAAAAGGACAATTGATATTCCTGCCATAGATATTTCTGAAGCTTGTCAACTGAGTCATCATGGAAAAACTAAAAAGAACACTGAACTTAATTTATTTTTTTGTCATGACATTCTTTACGAACTCAAGAACAAGCCTAATGCTTATCCATTCTGTGAATGTTTTGATGCAGAAAAACTGGAAGTTTCAGATTATATCAAAGTTGTAAAGCATCCGATGGACCTATTAACTATAAATTCAAAGTTAGAGAATAATCAATACATAAGCACAGAAGAATTTGAGGAAGACATTCATCTAATATTTCATAATTGTTATACATATTATGAAGTTGGAAGTGAGGTTTATTATTTGGGCAAAGCATTAGAATCAGTATTCAACAAAAAATGGATTGAAAACCATATTCCTCAAGCTATACAGAAGGATATACCAAAGATGGATGATGCTGGCACAGATAGTTTGTTTATTGGTAAGTTTTTAACAAATTACATTAGTTTTTTTTGCACTTATGTTATTAACTGTGCACAATCACCATCCATTAGAACTTTGGAAAAAACAAAGACAAATGGACAAAACAGAACATGAGTTACTATCAACAATACCTCCGCCTATACATTATCCTGATCTAAATAAAAACACCAGTACTATAGATGCCGCCCAAATTAAAAATTCAGAATCCCAAATCCCAAATTAATTTGTGCATCCCAAATGTACAAATCCCAAATGTAGATCAAATCCCTGTACTTGCTCTTCTGACCAATAAGCATCCAGGATAATAAAGGGATCATAGATCACACTCACAAATTCTGGGTGCTTATTGGTTGAGCAGGAAAACTGATCTACATTTGGGATTTGGGAATCTTTCAGTAGGCTGTCCCAAATTTAATTTGTGCATTTGGGATTTGGGCAGCATGTATAACCAGTACTACTATATCAAGTACTGCTTGTACTCCATCTCCAGTCAAGGGTTGGACATCATTTTTTGAGGAGATTCAATCTTGTGAATTTGATGATAGTATTAAACAATACCCACAACTATATTTTAAGAATTATGATAAGGATTATGATATATCCAATGAAGAAGATGTCAGAGATGCATTAAAGCATAATATATTTGATAGCCTCCACTTTATTACGACATCACAACAACTGACAGAAATTTTCAAGCGTGTATCAAAAGAAGATAATGTCAATGGAGGTCCTGATTTCATCTATAAACAGTTTGGCAAACTACTATTAACAATTGAAGTGAAGACTTTTTGGGTCTTACATTTGGAAGATAATGAATCTCTTCATGAAAAATATGAAAAAGATTTGAAGAGAAAAGAAAGTGAGACAATACTTCCAAATTCTGGTAGGATTTCTGTGGTAGATATTATACGTCAAATTTTTGGATATTTAGTTGTTAACAAGTTACAATATGGCATTCTTACAACCTATAACCAACACTGGTTCCTTCGAAGGCCCAAAGATGAACCATGTGCTCTTGAAATTTCCCCAACAGTAGATATACAATTGCAGAATCCTCCAATTTTTAAGTGCTATGCTTACATACAGAATCTGTCTATAGGGTTTGTATTCACAGATACTGTAAAGAGGTCACACAGGGTTACACACTATTAAAATCAAGTGTTTTTAAGGGATTTTTTGCTGATTTATTAGTACGTAACCCCCTTAATGGTATTCATGGTATCCGTGAATACAAACCCTATCTGTCTAGAACAGATACTGAATGCCCTAGTCCAGGAACAACACCACCACAATCACCACTATCCAGTTTGATGATAGTAATAGTTCAGATAATAACACCTCAGGATCGGATTATGAGGAGACCTTAAAGTCATCTAAACGAAAACGAAAATGAAAATGAAAATGAGATTCTAAAGGAAAACAAAACAATTCAACTAGTAAAAAAATTAACAATGAACAGCATTATTATTCAATTAGGTTAATAAATATAAACTATTTATTTGTATAGGTAAACCAACTCTGGAAGCCATATTTATATTTTTTTAGCATGTACATTGAATGCAGTGTGATATACATTGAAAAAAAATATATAATATGTAAACTAAGGTTAATGTTGGCAACTGATTTTGAAATTCTGCAATGGTTGCAACTCCCTAGTTGCAGAGCCATCTTTAATGTAACCATTTGTAATCTACTATGTTTATTTCCTTTTTTTGATGATGTGAAGTATGAAACATTCCCTTTAATTATGGTTGGTTAGTTATTTGTGAATGAAAGTTGCATTTGTGTTCCATAATAAATTTTCCTATTTTTTTAGATTCTCAAGTAATATCACCAAACCTTAGCAGTCACAGATCAAGTGTCATTCATTATAACCATTACACATAAAAAAAATTTGTCATTACCTTCAAAAAAAAAAAAAATCTCCATTTTTCATGCAGCAATCAATTTTTCAACAATAATAAAACAATAGAAGCAAATTAGAACTCTCTAATGACTATTAAAAAAAGAGTATAGCTTAACTAATGGCCAGCTCAGAAGTGTTTCTTTTTTCACATTTATTTTAAGATTATCTTCCAACTAATGTGCAAAATAAAACAAACTCAACAGTAACAGTTGCGCCAAAGTGTTCCTTACAAAGTCACTTATAACTACTTGGAAAGTTGTATTGGTGGAATTTTGACTTTTATTATAAGAAACTGATCTATGATTATTTATATACACAGTGTGTCTTGATTTAACGGATATTTTTTTCCAGAAAATTTATCCGTTAAATCAAGAGATCTGCTAAATCGAAACTTATGATCAAATCATGTGATACAAATTAAATGTGTATATACAAAAAAAAAATTTTTTTATTTTGTATATACATAAAAACAAAATATAACATAATAATAATAATATCATTGTCAACTCATAAATTCATCAATGCAACATTATTTTGCTTCTTGGGTGCTTCTATAAGAATTTTCTCTTTTTAACTTCAATATATTTATATATTTTTAATTATTTGAGGATCAACTTCTAAATATTTTTGTTGTA